ACTTCTATATATTACAGAAACACATGAAGGGAATTTAAATTCTTTTTAAAACCAGTTTTTTAAATGTTTATGTTTTTTAAAAATGTCTTTTTTATTAATGTTTGTACTTAAAGAGCTTCAATTTTGAATCATTTTTAAAGCAAAACCTGACAATGTAAAGTTCTTGCCAGCCTGGTTGACACTCAGAACCAATCAGAAGTTAGCTGGTGGTGCTATGCTTTACAGCTCTGAGTGTGCTTTATGGACAAGCGCACAGCAATGACGCGCAGAGAATAGCAACCACCCTGAGAGGGCCTATGGGCTATAACAACCAGTTGACCAATCAACACAGGGCAAACCCTCCAAGCCTGGAGCCACACCAATCCTGAGCCTATGCATACCCCCAGACACTCCCCTTATCCCTCCCTATAAGATCGAGCTGTCTTTCTAGCTATCCGCCATGGCGTGTGGGTGAGAGACCCGAGCTAACATGGGGTTAGCTCCTTAAACAACAATAAAGCCTCATGCAGTTTGCATCAAGCTTTCGAATCTGCCTGGTGATTGGGGTGACCGAGGTCCTGGGCTGAGATCCTGGAGGCCTGAGCTTCCGGGGGTCTTACAGTTGTATGTGTGTGTGTTCATATATTATATCTAGAGAACATCTACCCCTCCTCTTATTTTTAAAACAAGTTTGATAAGAAATGCCAAATATCCTACATCTATCGACCTGAGGGCTATGAGTTGTCCAGCCCCTGCTCCATAGTGAAGTAGTGAGGACAAGAATGAAACCACCAGCCTGCTGGGAAGCTGAGTATCAGGTGTAAGAACTGTCTCGACTCTGTCTCCATGTCTCAGCTGACACCAGGTGAGCATCCAGACCATGCTTGAGCTTCCTGATTATTATATAACACAAGATCTCCTGTGGTGGCTAAACCTGCTTTATTCCCTCTGCAGAAATCCTTCCCATACTGAATTTTCACATAACGGGAAATACCACTAAATGTCGTGGCCCGGCCTGTCTCAGCTCCAAGCCACAGTAGCCATGAGGTTCTGCCTGAGTGGGGGAGCGTGGACTTGGAAACTCCTAGCAACCCACTTAAAAAAAGACCAAACATGAGCATGTTGTCATCTTCAGAGAGCTCTCAGTTCCATGCTGCAAAACTGGAGTCTCTAGTTTATTCAGCATTTTCTTGGCTGTTTTCTAACCATGCTTCCATGGCCAGGAGGTCATTTCTCTCCTTCTGACCCCGGTCTCTCCTAACTCTCCTCACTTGTTACTCACATATAATCTCCCTCCCAGGTGCAGGCCTATTCAAATGCTTAGTCCTGTAGAGATGCAAACTAGGAGGCATTCTACAATGAGGCAATGCTATACAATAGCAGACTTGCTTGCATTAGCAACACAATTGTAGGCCTGAGCTCCTGGGTGCTCCTGTTCCCTGAAACTGGAGGTTGGATCTTAAGATATTCCATAATGGAACTTTTTTGGTCTCCAACAACTAAAAACAGAAATCATGTTTGCGAAAGGGGAAAAAGTTCCTCAGAGCATTTATTTCATACATTTCCTTCTCATCTGTCTCCCATCCTTAAATTTATCCCAGGATTTGCACTGATTTGCATTTGTATCCTTGTGAAATGAAAGCATTTTGAAGCTTTGAAGTGAACGCTTCAGTAGCCTTTAGTACATTCTCAGCTGTCAATCAGCATCCACACGGTTCCCAAACGCATTCTCACCATCAAGGAGGAAATTATGTACCATTAAGTCACCCCTCTACTCTCTAAAAGTGAAACTATCTGTTTTCTGTCCCCAAGATCTCCTTATTTCATACATTTCATATAGTGTGTGACCTTTTGGGTCCAGCTTCTTTGAATTGGCTGCTATGAGCAAGACATATTCATGCTGTAACATTTAACAGTACTCGCTTTCTTTTTTTGCTGACTAATATTCCGCTCAATGTGGATCCAATGTACAGACATTGGGTTGTTCTTACGTTTCAGCTATTTTGAAACCATATGCATGGTTTTTATTTATTTGTTTATTAATTGCTTGTACATGAAGGAGCGGAATTGCCATGCCATGCCATAACTATGTCTAACTTTTTGAAGCACCATGTTTCTTTTGCATCTTTTGAATCAGTCTCTAGTGTCAAGTCAAACAGAATAAACTGTTTATACTTGGGGTACAGGTATTGTCTCTGCTCTTTTCCCTTGGGTCTCACCTGATCCTAGGTGGAACAGCCAGTGCCATGCATGGGCCAGCTCAAGATAGGTTGCAAGGCGGTTGAAGCTCTCACCAGTCCTGAAGATTTTATAACATTCTTTATTGAGGCTGAGAGTATTTCTCCATCAAACAATTGGAGCTCCCCAATCCCCATCTCTGTCCACCTCACTCCCTCCTTTCTTCCTTCCCTTCTTCTGCTGGGGATTTAACCCATCCCTCAGATGCTGGACAAGCACTCTACCATGGGACACAAGTAGAACTAAAACTGTACCCAAGCAACAGTTATAAAGTTAACTGGGCACAGTCCGGGTCAATAAAGGAGGCTTCTCTGTAACAGTAAGTGCCAGCTTTTACTGACTGTCTTACTCAGGGTTTCTATTGCTATGAGGGGACACCATGACCATGGCAATTCTTATATAGGAAAAACATTTAATTGGGTGGCTTACAGTTCAGAGATTTAGTCCATCATCATCATGGTGGGACATGGCAACATGCAGGCAGACATGGTGCTGGAGAATGAGCTGAGAGTTTTACATCTTGATCCGCGCAGGTAGCAGAAGGAGTCTGAGTTCCATACTGAGCAAGCTAGAGCAGAAGAGTCCTCAAAGCCCATCCCCATGGTGACACACTTCCTCCAACAAGGCCATACTAAAGGGACCAGTCCCCCATTTCGGCAGCCATGACAGTAACACGTGCTCGCTATGACCTTGTTCTAGTCACTAGAAAGTCAGATCCCTGCCTCGTGGCAGGGAACCAGTCAGAAGTTAGCTGGTGGTGCTATGCTTTACGACCCTGGGTGTGCTTTACGGACAAGCACACAGCAATGACGCAGAGCATAGCAACCACCCTGGGAGGGCCTGTGGGCCATAACAACCAGTTGGCCAATCAACACAGGGCAAGCCCTCCAAGCCTGGAGGGCACACCAATCCTGAGCCTGTGCGTACCCCTAGACACTCCCCTTACACTGCCCTACAAGATCTCTCGGCAGCCGGTTCAAACTGTCTTTTGTAGCCATCCGCCATGGTGGATGGACGAAAGACCCGAGCTAACATGGGGTTAGTCGTTAAATTACAATAAAGCCTCGTGCAGTTTGCATCAAGCTCTCAAATCTTCCTGGTGATTGGGGTGACTGCAGTTGTGGCCTGGGACCCTGGATACCTGCGTTTTCCGGGGGTCTAACTATACTCCTGATAGTGCCACTTATTATGGAGGCTATTTTCTTTCCTGCCACCACATTTAAAGCTAGTGTTACCTGATTATGTGTGACCAAGGCTTACTTTTACTATGTCTGAGTGTCCTGGTCCCATTCCCTTAAGTTCTTAGAAACCAAACCCAAATTTAACCAGCATTTCTAGAATTCCTTGTCAGTTCCCACATGATATGGCCTGAATATTTGTACCCTACCCCTTTAATCTGTTGAGATTTGAATCCTAACCCCCAAGGTGATGTTACTAAGAACACCCTTTGGTCTTAGTCCTTTTCTGTTACTATAACAGAATACCTGGGATTGGGCAATTTATAAGAGCATTGGGTTACTTTCCATGGTTGTAGAGGCCGCAGCTGAAGAGCAGGTAGCTGCATGGTGAGGGCCAAATGTTGTTTTAACTCACGGTGGAAAGACAAAAAGAACAGCCAACCCCTCAACAAATGAGCACTTGCCACTGTTGTGAAGAACTTGAGTTCAGTTCCAAGCTCCCATATCAGGCAGCTCACAACCACACCTAATTCTAGTTCTAGGGGATCTGATGGCCTCTTCTGGTCTTCCTGGGAATACACATATGGACAGAAACAAAAGCAGGCACATAAATAAAATTAAAATAAATCTTAAAAAAAAAGTAATAGCCCCTCCGTGGCTCTGAAGAAAGCATACACAACCACTGTTTCTGTGTTAAGGTGGCTGTGTCTGTTTTTTTCTTTTTTTTCTTTTTTGTTTTTTTTGAGACAGGATTTCTCTGTGACTTTGGAGGCTGTCCTGGAACTAGCTCTTGTAGACCAGGCTGGTCTCGAACTCACAGAAATCCCCCTGCCTCTGCTTCCCGAGTGCTGGGATTAAAGGCATGTGCCACCAACACCCAGCTGTGTGTGGCTTTTTTGTGTAAGCATTTTTGGTAACCTCTCCCATTGTGACTTCCCTTAATCTGGGTCCTCGAAGGGGCTCATTAAGGAAGAGTTTGTGTGTTTCTAGATAATTTCAGTGTTCAGCTCACCTGTAAAGTGGAAGGAATCCTTTTTCATGAAATCAGGCCTCTCAGAAGTAGCAAGCAAACATTAAATAGAAACACATTCTCCTGTAAGTGATGTTTCCATGAGACCTTCCTTGCTTACCAGGCCAGCAGAATGGTAACACTGGGTGTGTCAAGTGCCCTGAAGTTGGTGGCTAGATACAAGTGCCTGAGATGGTAAGTGCCAAAGCCTCTTCCAGCTAGCTCCTCCCCTCCCCCATGCCCTTTCTTTTCTCCACCCCCCCCTTTCCTGCTTGGTTGCTTCTCTGCAGTAAATATTTATTTAAAAACCAATGAACAAAAAATCCTCCTGTCTCCAGTAAGTTTCTCAGCAGGAGATGCACGCACTTTTCCACAGGAAAATCTGACTAAATCGAGGACTAACTCTTTCCTCTCAGGCCAGTTGCACACAGGAGAGAATGCCAGTTCAGCCCTTGTACTGCTGGACACCTCAGTAGCTGCGGGGCAAATTGGGCAGGTTTGAGCAGTGCAGGGCTGTGCTGGTTTCCTAGCAACCCGAGAAACTATGGGGTAACATGCCACCCACGACCCAGCAGAGATCCTGCAGCCAGCGGCCCATGGCGGAGCGTGGGTTGGCTCCGAGACAGTTGCAGGAGCACCGGAACTGCAGGCGGTAAGAGCGGTGCTACTGGGGCTCGTGCTTCTGGCCAGGAAAGCTTGGATCCCCTGGGCTGAGTCTGAGAAGGTCCTTGCTGCTAGGAGTTGCCTTCTAGCAGTGTCCCTTGTGACCTTACTATTGCAACTGAGTAAAACGACCA